AAATGCCCCCGCCGTCGTCGAACCCTCCCGAAAGAAGCCTAGGCAAACATTCGCGGCAGCGTAGCGTAGCGCTTCCAGCGTACGCCAGCGGCAGTGCCGGGGAGAGGATGCATATCGATCTAGCGTTCCCAGCGTCACCAGCGTAACGCTAGCGTACGCTAGCGTTACGCCAGCGTTTCTCCAGCGTTTCACCAGCGTTTTGCTGGCGTTTGCAGCGGCAGGGGAGTAGAGACTATGTGGCCGTAAGAGACGCGCAATCGATGTGTATTGTAGAGACTATGTGGCCGTCAGAGACGCGCAATCGATGTGTATAGTAGAGACTGAGGGCGAGTGAGAGACGCGCAATCGATGTGTTTTGTACCCTCCAGCTCTCCCATAGTCTCTACTCCCCTGCCGCTGCAAACGCTAGCAAAACGCTGGTGACGCTGGGAACGCTAGATCGATATGCATCCTCTCCCCGGCACTGCCGCTGGCGTACGCTGGAAGCGCTACGCTACGCTGCCGCAAAGTATAAACGCAGCCTTAGAGATCCGAGAGAAGTCCATGACGAAGATGAAGGTCTGTCAAGAGTTCCATCATGTTTGCGGCGTGCTGAAGCCCGCCCACAATGGGCGGGGCGTGCATTTAAAGAGGAGGTCAAAGTATAAAAGGTCGTAGTTTGGTTCTGAAGCACTGCAGATGGTGCCAAAAAGTGGACTATGGTCCCCAAGTGATCATATGTAGAAATGTGCGAGGCACTCGCGTTGTGATCGGAGTGTGCGCCGAGTTGGGCGGAGCCGAATTTAAAAAAAATTCGCAAAACGCTTCCAGAGCACTCCAGACACCGGGAAAAAGTAGTTTAAGATCAGCGAGGGGTTATTAGTTGAGAAGCGCGAGGCATACGTTGTGGGCGGAGCGTGCCCCGAGGTGGATGGAGCTAAATTCCAAAAATTGGACATTTCCAGAGCTCTTCAGACACCGGAAAAAGGTAGGTCATCGAGGGATGACCAATTCACAAGTGTGAGGCATGCCCGTTGTGGGTGGAGCGTGTGTAGGCTGGGTCGGTCTCAACTATTCTTCTAGCGGTTTCAGAGCACTTCCAGGCACTCCAGACCTCCTCTGTGATACAGCCCGGCCTTGCGGGCGTGGCTCCGTCGCGCCTACTGCATTCGTAGGTCAAATGCTGGACCAATACCCGGCTTTCCTCTCATCTGTCCACTTGATCAACGCTCCTTTCCACCATTTCATGCACCGTAATAGTGTTGAAAATAGCAGGTATGGTGCTATTGGTGAAATAATGTTGATCATCCGTTCAGATGAAAGAAAAGCCGAATACTAGGCGGGTATTGAAATGTGTGGAAAAGGTAAGCGCGGTGGAGCCGCGCCCGCCCGGCGAAGCCGTGCTGTATCTCAGAAAAAGGCGCGTCCGGCGTTAGCCGGCGAAGCTCGCTGGTACTTTCATAGTCGCTGACGCTGGCGTATACTCAAAACGCTGCCACAGGCTGGTGTACGCTGGCGTGATTTATGAACGCAGCCTGAAGAGAACAGCTGGGAAAGTATTTCGTGCGCAACATATCCACCGGTACCTTGTGGGTAGAATTCCTTTTCGTGAATACGGTCCACAGCTGCACACAGTGTATTTGAGACAGGCCATAGTATTGTTAGAAAAATCTTGTCTTTCTCATCCGACAATATTGCTTACGTGACAACTAAAATTTTCGGTGGAGCTTCTGGCGCGAAAGGCCAAAGCACAGAGGAGAGGACTGCGGGCTGCCAAGGAATAGGAAAGGTGCAGACGACATGTCGCAAGCCGGAAACGAGTTTTTCTGGGGCAGGGACTCCACGGCTTGAGGAGCCACTTTTCATAAGTGAAAGGTTGTGAAATGAATGGTCGCAGTGGTCACAAAATGCATGCAGACGTGAGAGCGCACAGGTGCGAAAGTGTGCTCTCTTTCCCGCCCATCTCTGCGTCTCTTTCATCACAAACTCGTCCAAGGCTAAAAATCGACAGGGCCTTATTTAAAGCGATTTTGACGGTTTAACCTGCTTTCTTCTTCAATGCTGAGCCAAACAGCAACTACTAATTCGTACTTGAATCCCACTGCCCACGAATTGTAATTGGAAAATGTGTCTTTAAGGTGTCTCCAGAGTGAGTCGGCCTTATTTGCGTACAAAGCAAGCTTTCATGCCATTTTTTTAGCCTTCCCTAGTGCTCTTTGAGGACTTGGAGCTGGGTCACATAAGGCTGGTCTCTTCATACGATGTGACCCAGGCCCAGAGTTATGATGTGCAGTAACCCTGCGGTATCACTTGGTTCTAATAACGATTTCTGCCAACACTGCGATCCTTATATTTTCCTGCCTCATAACTGTCTGTTGACATCACTATACGCTAGGATGTGAATGCTTTTGAAGGATGTGTTTCCCGTACCTGCTTAGTGTAGTGTTTCGTACGCGACAAAGCCCAGTTTGATGTAAATTTTTCAGTGTGCTCTTTTTGCTGCTAGATATTCGTCTGTGTGTGTTGCCAACCAACGGCAAGTTGAGGTGTGTAAATTCAGTCCTCCAACCATAAGATGTAGTTGGTCTAACCCGAAATTTTCAGTGTTGGGAGGAATTCAAAAAATGCGCTGAGTTGTTTAAAGAATACGGAATGAACCTTTTGTAGCCAGGAAGTTATGCGCTACTATGGTGCTAAGAACATGCGACTTGCAGCATATTTGATAAGTGTGAGTGAGGTTGTTTGTTATCCGACCATAGGTCCATCCTGTCCTATTTATTTAGGTTTATAATTTACTGGTTCGCTCGAAGTATGCAGACATCAAGCTGCCATCGTAAGACATTGTTCATGACTACGTGCGAGAATACTATACCACCAATATTGTGTGTGCATCTGTCACCCTAATTTCAGAATCCAAGAAACATGGAAAGAACGTTTAACCGAGGAAGATCGAAAGGAGATCGCGGAAAATTTCGAAGCCTTCCGGCTACCCATTTTCTCTTGAAATGAACCAGGGGTCATATTTGAATTCCATGATAATAAATCTATCTCCCAGGATCGACCTTCTCTTGAGCTTGGCATTGTTGTATCTTCGAACAGGTGGATAGTTTGAGCCGTCCAAGATTTTTATAATTTATTGGCCAACGTTTCGGCTTCCTCGCCTTCGTCAGGGCCTGAAGGAGTCCAAAACAATTGAGATTGTTCCCTCGAACGCCCCACAAGGAACATAATACTATTCGATATCCTAGCAAACCACCTGACGGTATAGATCGATAAATGTGAGTTGGCTTACCTTGATCTCAGCCGCGATGACGTGAGATCGACCACCCAAGCTGCAGTACTACTAACAATGAGCTTACACCTCCACTCCGCGACCTCGACCTCATTGTAGGCCAAAAACCACATAGGTCGGCGAAGGGCGCGAGTTCATGTGTTATGACTACACATTTCCCTTTCCTTTCATGTGGGGGGGTCTTTTGCTGAAATCCAAAGGGCTTCCAAGGTTTTTCGCGCAGCGATTTCAGGCTCCTGTGCCAGGATGGACACAGTTACCTGGAACTCAACATCTCCATGATACTCAACCCGATGGCAACCAACTGCCTACAGGACTTGTGATCTTTGCAAGCCGTCCAAATGTTCTTTAACCCATGCGCAAAGGAGGGCCCGTCTCCACATATACATATAAGCAAAATATAAGCAGTAAAACTGGCCATGCATTAAGAACCTCTCTGCCACCTCGGTTACACGATAACGTTGACTTGGTGAGCCACACATTTGTGGTCCTGCATTAGAGGAAGTGAAAGGACTTCACACAGCTCATAACTTCACAATTAATGAACTGTAAGCGTATGCCTTTGCACTAGAAATGACGATATTTCTCTGTAAAAGCTACTGACCATAAGGGCAATGGAATCAGTTCTACTATGTAAGAGAAAGGATCAGCCTGCGTAACGCAGCAAGCCGAGGCTATTTCGAGGTGAACCCATGTAGTTGCTTCCTCTATCTCAACATGTACCCGCGGGTAAGACCCAGTCCCCAGTGAAACAAGATGAAACCAGGTCAATTTCATTTGATGACTCACACACTCCTGGACGTGACGTCATCAAGAGGAGGGATGACATCAAGATGGACCTCACCGAAGTGAAAGCATTGGCAGAAGATGCAGTGGATCGGAACAAGTGGCGACGTCTAACAAGAACAGCGGACCCTGCGACGGCGCGGGACTAACGCCAGGGAGAAGAAGAAGAAGAAGAAGTAGACACTCCTGAGCGTGACGAAGTATGCCGGATGCGTGGAAGAGCAGCACGATCGTCCCCATCTCCAAAGAGGAAGAGACGCGACAGAGTGACCCATGCCGCGTCATCAAGTTGACGCATACAATGAAGCTATTTGAGCGGCTGGTCAATGCAAGGCTAAGGGACATGTTTATACTTTCGGGGATTCATGCCTTGAAAGTCGACCACCGATGCCATCTTCATCGCCACGCAGAAGATGGAGAGGTGATCGAGAAAAACGGCGGTCTTGCTGCCTTCTTGGAAACCGGCCTCCATAGTGAAGGACATGCACGATGGAACTAAGGCAAGCTGTGCGCACCCACACGCTTGACAAAGGAGGTAGAATCACGATTAGGGTACCAAGGACTTTCCCAGTCCTTGGTACCCTCCCTCCTGACTTTGACTGTCATGGCGAAAGAACTCATGGAGGATTCACTCAAAATATCCTCCACACTGAACACATTGCCCTGACAGCGGACAGCAGGGAAGAATACAGAACTCAAAACAAGATACGAAAGTGACATGATGTGCTCGTTGAGAATGCCCTCTGACTAAACGTATAGAACACTAAGTTCCTGAACTCCGAAGGGTGCACCGGATTCATTCTAGGGCGTTGGAGCGAAAGCATCAAAAGGGAGAGGTCTTCCACTATCTGAGGGGGGACATAATGAACTGATAGCAGTGTAGACCAGGCGCTAAAGGCCCCAATCAATAATGCATTTTTTTTTTTTCTTTTTTTTTTTTTTTTTTTTTTTTTTTTTTTTTTTTTTTTTTTTTTTTTTTTTTTTTTTTTTTTTTTTTTTTTTTTTTTTTTTTTTTTTTTTTTTTTTTTTTTTTTTGGATGAAATAGGGGGAGTCGAACAGGAATCTTCTGCAACCGGCGGTGCTCCAGAACGCTTGACAGTGATAAGTCCTGCGATGCTGTGACAATGAGACGAGTTCTGGTTCTGGAAGAACCATGAAAGGCAGCCTCACTCTGCTGTGGTTGGACACGACTGAGCAGAGTGAGGCTGGTCGCTTTCATGGCAAGCGACCAGCGATTGCCACAGCATGGGCACGTAGAGGGGGCCTGAGATTTGACCGATAGTTGAGGCGTTGGACTTTGAAGTACAGGACAAGCCCCAATGAAAGGATGAAGGGATTCCAACAAGAAGGACCTCACTGAAGAGAATGGGACAGCAGAAGATGCAGTGGATCGGGAACAAGCGGTGACGTCTAACAAGGACAGCGGATCACCGCGATGGCGTAGGACTGATGCAAGGGAAAGAAGAAGGATACTCGCACACGACAAACGGAAGGTTAGAATGAGTTCCCAACTGTTGATAACAAAAATATCTTCCCCATATGGTGTACTCTCACAGTTCGCAATTGGAATAGCTAGTAGCAGACTGAACGCTGCACAGGTTAGCTATCAGAAATGAGCATGGGGGGGGGAAGGGGAATCAGCAGGCAGAACATTGCTTTCATCACGAGCGCCACGAGTGAACATCCTTGCTGCACACGTCAGATTTAGAGGAATAGTCCACTTTAGCGCAGAGAAATTACCAATCATGTCGCTTAAAGTAGGACAGGAATATTAGGTGCTGTGACAGAAATGTTGGAGGCAGCGACCAAGGCGATGCTCCGCCCACTACCTCTACGTTCAGTTCTAACGGTTCCCTAAGAGTGCGATTGTCTCTCTTTCAATTCTTCCAAGGTAACAGTTATGTTATAACCTATAAGGGCCCTAAGGGGCCTAAGGGCTGATATTATCATTTCACTCAATAAACCAAGTGTATGTTTGTAAGTATGTATGTATGTATGTATACATATCTGTCCGTCCGCAAAATGCTTCACGGGTTCGAATTAGTGGAGGAGAATACGACCGCTAGACAAACCGGAAACCGATTGGTGCAGATGTATCAATCCAATGTTTTGATTGTGATACAGCCACCGCTATATAAGACAACCATTTGGTACACTCCGAGCCATTGCACGAGCTGCTCGGGTGGCAGCTGGACGTGTGCTCGTGCGGGAGCAGGGTAGGGGTAGAATGGGGTAGGGGAGTGTACTGACTGACCCTCTACTTCCTTCCCCTGCCCGGGCTCAGCCGGACCTGAGCATGTGCAGGGGAGGGAGGCAGGAAAGGAGCTGGGTGCAGGGGGTAAGGTGAGCGAAGGGGGTGCGTGGCGCACGCTTGAGCAGGAGCACGTAGCAAGAGAAGAGGATACAATCGCTAGCAAAACTGCCAGCTAATCCGTAAAGGAGTAGCAAACTATGATGCTGTTTCGATGGTGCAATACCCTCACCCTTTATAAGAAAGCCTAGTAACTCCAAGCTACTCGCCTGGCAGCAGGACGTGAGCTCCTGCATGGGTTGCTATATTTGTTACGATTCGACAGAAATACCGCAATACAGTAGCTAAGTGAATGAACAAATTCCTATTCCATCATGAAGTACGCCAAGCCAAACCAGCTAAAGAGAAGGAAGATAGCTCGGCTCCAGCCGGGCTCCGAATGTTTGAAATGTAAACCAAAGGGAAGTCATACAAACACGCCTTTTTTCGCCATATCTTTCCCTTTTTACCGGAGGGGGTTCCCGAAAATTCGAAAAAGATCAGTTCATTAACTGCATCACCTTGGCCAGATTAAATAAGGCGCGAATCGTCGAAGAGATGAGTACTTGATCCGCTCCCCTGATAGGGGGCCCTATTTGCAGAGGTCAGTACTCGCCCGAGGCCTTCACATAATATTATTAAAATTGCATACCTTCATTCAGAAACCATATTTCGTAGAGCGGTAAGGACAATTCAGTTTGTGTATGGCTGGGCTCCACCGAAAACACTGCAGGCTCCATCAAGTTTGCATGACTGCTTCAAGCCAGAAAATAATAAGGAGAATTCTGAGCGAACGAGGGTTCTTCACCTCTCAATGGAAAAAAACTTCGTGCAAGTATAGCGTGGAATGCAGG